CGGCCTCCTCTGTGGGGATACCCACTCCCGAAGGACAGGAACTTGTCACTGAGCTTGTTGAGTTCACCGTTGTTTCTCCAGGACCCAACTTAATGCCTCACTCACAGGAGGAGCTCAGCAAACATCTGTCCAAAGAGCTAATTTTTCAGAGGAGGAAACAGGCTCAGAAATGTCAAGTGAGTTCTTCAGGGTAACACAGTGGGCACCCAGGTCTGCCTGTCTCTGAAGCCATTGCCACTGCCACCCTCCAACCGGCCTCTGAGTGGACCCACCTTCAGGCTACGAATGCTGGACGGGCTGGCGTCCGACTTGAGCATGACCTGGATATCCTGGAGCACCTCATCGCCCGTGGGCCGGGGCCGGGTCACCTCATCAGCCACCTCTTTCGCAGCTTCCTCCAGCTGGAGAGGAGGAAGGGGACAGGCTATGAGTGCCTGGAGCAAGGCCAGCCCAGCCTGGGAGGGAACAGGGTCCCACTCACCAGCTGCAAATGCTCAGCTGGTTGCTTGTACAAGTAGTCAGCCAAGTCCTCGTCAAAGCTGGCCAGGTCCTCCATCTCCACTTCGATCCAGTATTCCCCCAGGTTATAATGCCGCTTGAGTTCATCCCTGGAATGGGCAGGTGGCAGGGCAGGGGCGGGGAAAGACACAGAGAAAACAAAACTGGCTAAGGTACACTTGCACCCGGAGTCTACCCACACCAGTGCCCCACCACTCCTCTTCCTAAACACGCATCTAGTCCAGGTAGTTCTGTTATTTAACCCTGAAGAGGCTCCCACTGCCGACAGGTCATCCTCCAAAGAACGTTCTGGGGGAGCGATTTGCAAAACAATCAAGGGATGTTTCAACACTCACACAGACAGGGTTCTGTGCACAGCTGTCTGGGAGACTCTCCCTGCAAACCAGTCCTTTCACTGGGCTCCTTGGAGCCTTTAACTTTTTTTTGGAGGCCAGCGAGGCACATGGCCGGATCTTGGAGGGCTCCTCTGAGAGCCTTCCCTAACTCCCCTTGAACATTCCTCCTTTGAGACAATCATTATCTTGTAATTTATTTGTTGGTCCTACTGGCTTAGAAGCTTCTTGAGGGCAAGCAGTATGAATCTTTCCATCTTTGCATCTCAGGGTCTGGCACAGAGACGGTCAATGCCATCCAGAATGTGAATAAACGGAGGTAACGTGGTTATGCCCACTTTACTGATGAAGAAACTGAGGCCCAGAGAGATTGTCACTGGGAAGTCACTCAGCTAAGGATCAATCAGGCCCACGCCTGGACCTGTAAACTCATTCTCTGCCTTTTAAAGGCCTATGAGGATCTGGCAAGATGTCGCAAATGTACAACGACTAGGAGCAGGGACCCTGCCCGACTCACTCAGTGCTTAGCCCTGCACCTGGAACAGTGCCTGGCACGCAGCAAGTGCTCAGTCAGCAGAAGCTGACTGAGTGGAATGAATGAAGGAAGGAAGGAGTGAAGTAAACCTATCTACCATCTTCACCTTTTGCACCCACAGAGAACTTGGTTTACAAGCTATCACGCACATTACACGGAAGGACAGTGAGAAGCAGACGAATAGGAGCAAGACATGAAAAAAGAACCAAAGGACCCCGAGACTCACTCAGAAGTTAACCTCAGATATGAAACGTACAAAAACCATATTCCACCGGGGTGAGGGGCCCCAGTGAGAGGACAAGGCCCCGCTGGGACCGCATCTCCAGCCCGCACCTGTATTTGAAGGTGAAGCCGGTGCGGTCGGTGCCCACTCGGTACTGCCGCAGGAACTCCTTGAAGCGCCTCTGCAGCTGCGACTTGCGGGCCTGCCCCTCATCGGTCGCGTTGTCGCCCCCGAAGCTGTCGCTGTAGAAAATGCCGGGGTCGTCGAAGCCCGACATGACTGCACCTGGCGCGGGGACAAGGAGCTGGAGCAGGCGGAGGGGGCAGTGTGGAGGGGGACGCGCGCGCGGCAAACCCTCCGACACCCGGGTCCTCCGCTCCGAATGCGGGGCGGTGTGAGCCCGGTTCCGCCTCCCAGACCCCGACCCCAGTTCTCCCAGGAGAAACCACTGCCTTACTGCGCCGTCAAGTGCAGACGCCCAGGTGCCCACTCCCAGCCCCGCCGGCCTCACCTCTCCCTTCCCGCACTCGCCGGAACCCGAGAGACAGGAACCCCCACGGCCCGCCGCCGAGTTTCGCGGGAAAAACGAGACGCCGCGTTTGGACGCCGCGGTCGCTGCGCTCTCATTGGGTAACCAGAGCCCCTCGGCCAGTGATTGGACCGCTCTGCGCCCGCGAGTCCCGCCTACCGGACCTGCCGCCAAGGCGGATTGGCTGCAGGGCTCATGACGTCAGGCCTCCTCGCCTCCTTCCGGGCTCCATTTTGCGTGCCGGACAATTTGGCGCGAAACTGACCCGGAGGAAGCAGCGGGGCGGGGCGCCAAGATGGCGGAGGGGCGGGCCGAGGGGCCGGGCGGGCGGGCGAGGGCTGTTTTGTGTACTCTCCTTAAGCCTTTTTCAAAGTCTCGGGAGGAAATGACCCACTTCAGAGCCACGGGGCGGAAGAAGCTGTAGGTCGCTGAGAAGTACAGGCTTGCTGGGTGTGAGCCTGCTGCCCCCTAGCGGCTGGAGGGGGCGCGGCCCACCTGCGCTCCCCGCTCTCACGGAGAACACGTTTCCAGAAGTTGTAGATCAGAAATGCCACCGCGGGGCACCTTAACGTCTCCAGAACGAAACTCAAACCTGGGGCTCAAGGGATGTTTTCTCAAACCCCAAAATGGTGAGGTTTTTTTTTTTTTTTATTGCGGAAGAGCTTTCATCATTGAGCAATGCTTAAAATTTGCGAAAATTCACGACCAGATTCCCCCGCCTGGCTTGAAAAATGGGGAAATCTGCCAAACTCGACAGATTCTCAAGCTTGGACTGCATACTCTCGCTCCCTTCTTTTCCAGTCTCACTCGCAACACGAACTTTTTATTCCATGTGCTATATTTGCACATATTTACAAGGCATATTTGATATATCTTTTTACAGGGTGTTGAAATTACATCAAATGAATCTGAAACTGGCTTTTCTCCTTAATACTTCGTGGAAGTCCCTCTGAGTGGAGACATAGTTTTAACTCATTCTATTTAAGAGCTCCTTAATTTTCCACAGTGTGAATGGAATACAAATTCTTTAGCCATTTTCCTGTTAGTAGAATTCAGGATGGTTTCTCTCGGTCTGTAACTGCCCCCACCCCCTTCCTTTCTTTGTGGCTACAAACAATGAGTATTGATGCCCTTGTCACAGAAAACTGGAACCTGGTCCCAGGGTCAGAAGAGCTCTAGCCACTCTTTGAATGCCTACCCTTGGCATACATAAACAATGGCTTCTGGACCTGGTTGCACTTTGGAATCGCCCAGTAGACTTTTATAAGCAGTGATTCCAGGGCCCTTCCCCAGGTCTCCAGAATCAGAATTTTCAGAATCTCCTGAGGTGGGTCCCAGGATACTGGGTATTTTGATGCCACCATCCACAGACTGGTGTTTGGATGCTTCTTGACCCTCCTTCCAGCGGGATGTATTGTTTTTGGCCTGTGAACACAAGGAGACTAGAAGTGACTTGACCAAGGTTCCAGACTTAGTGACAAAGTCAGGACTAGGGACAGAGTCCTCACATATTGGTCATATAAGGAAATGCCTTGTCCCCCTTCCCTCCCAAGTAACAACATCAGCAAGGGGCTTTCACTCTCGAGATTGGGAGAGTGCATTTTCACTACTTCAGTGGCTTTCAGGACATCAGGCAGTGGGAACATCTTAGTTTAGTGCTGGCCAGACCTGGTTGAAATCCTTTCTGACCCTCAGAGAGTGGTAGCACTCCTCACAGCTTCTCTCTGAAGATGAACTGAGATGATACAGGTGAAGTGACTCACACAGCACGAGAATCACAGCAAAATGAACAAAACACTGGTCTCTCTTGATTTGTAATAGGAGTCAGCATTGTACAATGTTGGCATTTTACATGCATCTCATTTGCTTCTCAAGACAGGCTGGCGAGCCTGTATTCATGTTAAAGGTGATACAGCTGAGCCCTGGAGAGGTTCATGACTAACCTCCAAGGCAGAGCTACAAAGTGGAGTAGTAGGGATTTGAACCAGGGAATCTCACTCTAATCCCTAAGACTTACTATACAGGACACATAAATTTCACCCCAGAATCTGCTCACTTCAGGGAATCCTGTCTTCAGTAAAGCTGTCTTGCATCAAGCAGGGTTCGCCCCCAAGATTCGCCTACCAACTTCTTAAAGCTCACCCCCCACATTCTCAGAACAGAGCGCAACATCCTAAAATAGCTCCTGCCACCCACACCTTCACCCCTCCTCCCCACCAGGCTTTCAAGAAACAAGTGAGGAAAAGGTCAGTTCCCCAAGGGGAATAGAATCCAAGAAAAACACTTCAAGTTACTATCAGGCAATGTAGTTTATTATTTCACAGAAAAGTTAGAGACCAAGGCCACGGTGCTGTTAGACGCCTCCCTCCCCAACCCCCAACAACCCACCCCAACCCTGCTATAAAAACAGAACAGAACACAACAAAATACCACAGTCCAGGCTGAGCTGGGGACAAAGCGTGGCTCCAACACAAACAAGACAGAAACACAAGACAGAACATCTCTGCACATTTATATAAAAATCGCCATGGCTCACGGGGAAAGTGGTCACAGCATGTTAACAAGGAGACTGCAGATCCGAGGCATTTGGAGCTGCCACCTCTGGCTACATCTTCTGGGCTCTGCTGCAGGAACGGGGGGTAGGGAGGGTGCTGAGGGGCCGGGCAGGACCCTCGTCCCACTCTGAAGTTCAGGTCACTGGCTGGATGTGCTTTTGGCTGGGGAAGATGCCACAGGCTCCTTTTTCCCGGAGGAAGAGGGACGCAGGGAGAGGGCGGGGGCTGCAACGGCCTCTACCCTTCCCCTCCCAGGCCCAAGTAAGGAAGGCAGCCAAGAGATCGCCCCTCTCCAGGAAGAGTTCACGGCCCCCAGGAGCCAGCATGCTCGCGTTCACATGGCGTAAAGCCCCACAGCGACCGTTGCCACCAGAAAGCTAAGTGTGAGGATCCATCGGATGAGTGGCACCTGGGAGAGGATGCTGGGCTGGGGCTTGGCCCCGGACGTCTCTGTGGGAGTAGAGCCTGAAAGAGAAAGGGTACAGTGTCAACACCAGGACAGGGATGGGCACTTCTGATGTCACAGGAAAACAAAGCGGGGGGGGGGGCCTCAGCAGTGTCTAGCATAGTTCCCACTCAAGGCCAGGATGCTGCCAGAGCACAGAGCAGTCGCCCTCTAGCCATGCTTGAATACCTCCAAAGACAGGGAGCTTACTATCTCTCCAAGCTGTCCATTCTTCCCTTTTCAACCACTTTGTGAGGAAGTCCCCTCCAGGGGGGCCCAAGGGACTACCCTTTGAGAACTGGTGCATCCAGGTGAAGTCCCCTCACCTCCATCAGGTCGCCAATCCCATCAGGCCTGGCCACCATCCCAGCACAGTGAGAAAGTCACAGGGCAGGTGGGCTCAGGTGGCACCAGGAGCAAAGGCCTGAGGTAACCTGCCAAGCAGGTGGCTGAACTCCCCACTCTTCGCTCCCCAGACTCCCAAAGCCACACTCCTGCCCCTGGGGGTGTCAGGCTCAGGGAGGGGGCATTTTGTGGAGCACGCCAGTGCTTTGGGGAGTTTCCCAGACCCTCTCCCAGCAGAGTAATAGCTAGAAGCAGTCCTGGATCATCCCCTGCCCCACGTCAGGGGGTCTCTGCTCAGGAACCATTAAAGGGCCCCAAATGGAACCTAAATTAAGAGGGAGGAGGGATCTGCCATGACTTCCAAGGGCCCTGTGTGTGCACGTCTTTCTTTCCAGCCAATGAACTAGAACCAGCTCAACCCTCCTGATTCTGGAACTGGGGAGACTGAGGCTTGGAGAGTCTCACATGTGCCCAGCATCATCCACTGAGGGTGGGCCCCATGCCCTCCAACTGCATCCAGTTTCTCATTTAAAACATTGAGAAGATGGGAACAATCAAGTGATGCTGGAGACAGACAGCTGGGCCTGATGCCCCTCCAACAGGGCCCAGAGGAAACACCGCTCCCGGGAGGCCCTCACCTTGCACCCTGCTGCCGGCCCGCCTGTGAAGGTCTGGTGCTTGCGAGGGACTCTGGTCCTTGGCGTCCCGGGTCAGCAGCTCCTGCAACTCCTCAAACAGCTGCAAAACCAAAGACACACATCTCAGTGAGCGGTGGTGCTAGGCCGGCCGAAGGTAAGGTGTGGGTTTGGTTATGAAACATTAGGACATAATAAAGTCACAGGAAAAATACTGAGCATCGTGTACCTTTCACTCAGCTTACAAGAGATGTCCCAAGTACCTTTGACCCGCCTGCCTGCTCTCTCCCCTAAATGCTCCCCTAACAGCCATCCTGAATTTGAGGTTCCTGGTCACCACGCATGCCCTGATCCTGTGTCCCTCTGCAAAGCACAGTTTCATGAGTGGTCCCCTAAGGGATGCACTCTGCTGCAGCCCGCTGCCTGCTCTCATTTCTCTTGGTGAAATCCATCCTTAGTGTGTTCCATGATAATCGTTAGCCAGAGTTTACAGGTGAGGAAACTGCAGCTCCCAGAGATGAAGTGCCTGGGCTGAGGCTAACCCAGAGGGCAGGCAGCAAGAGCCAGCCCTCCAATGGGGCTCTGGCTCCAACCCTCCCGTTCCTTCTGCAACACCTCGCTGAAACACACAGATTTTTCTTGGAGGACTGACCAGGTTTTGTGGGTTACACGGTGGTCGTTTTTTAGGGAAATGCAAGGAAGGGGCATTTTTCCAGTCTCTTCTGAGGTCCCAGGCTGGGCATAAGCCACAGGAGAGCACAAGCCAGGAGACCCAGTCCCCGCAGGGCCTCCGGGTTGTCCCAGTGCGCTACAGCCGTAACGCTCGTGGCCCCAGTAACAGTAGCTAAGGTTAGAGGGGCAGACCCTGCGCCCGGCCTTGCTATCGGGCCTTTATTGATTCAAATTCACTTAATCCTCACAAGAAACTCTAGGAGGTAGGTCCCACTGTATCCCCATTTTACAGATGGGGAAACTGAAGTACTGAGCGATGGAGGGATGTGCCCAAGATCACCCAGCAAGTAAGGGGGAGAGCTGGAACCCTGCCCCGACCCCCGACTCCAGGCCCCTGCACTTAACTGTGACCCTCAGCCCCCTCCCTTGCTCTAAGAGAAATGTCCCTGGAGGAGTAGCTGGGAGAGGTGGCGGCCACCCTGAATGGCCAGACCCTCACCTGAATGTTGAGCAGAAACGCAGTCTTGGCCTCTTCCAGGACCCTCTGCCTGACCTCAGGGGTCATCTCCAGGGTGTTCATGCGGGCACGGTAGAGTTGTTTGAACTTGGTGGCGCTGGCGATGTTGGGGAAAGTGAAGAAGGCCAGACCCTCCCCGGAGCTGGGCAGGTCCAGGGCCTTCTGGGCAATCTTCTTGAGGACCTGGCCCCCGGACAGGTCGCCCAGGTAGCGGGTGTAGGCGTGGGCCACCAGCAGCTCGGGCTCCCTGCGCCCCACCTCGTGGAGTCGCCGCACGTAGCGCCTCGTGGCCTGCGTGTAGGGGATGCTCTCCTGCCAGCGGGGTCCATACCAGAAGGCCAAGTCCTGCTCCAGGGCGGCCCTGCGGTGCAGCTCCTCTGGGAAGTAGAGCGGGGCGAACACCGGGTTCTCCTTGTTGTGTTCGATCTCCTCCTCCAGGGCCCCGTAGATGTGGTACAGGGAGGCCGTCACCAGCTGCAACCAGAGCCAGCAGGTCAGGCTGCTGCCATGTATAAGACCCCATCCACCCCATTCACACTACTGCCTTCAACACAGACCCGCATCCCCACCCCAGGCTGGGCTCCCACCTCTGGCTGGCCCCTCCAGTCCTCTCCACACAGCAGTCAGAAGGAGTGTCCCAGGAGAAAAATTTCCTCAAGCCCTTTCTGAGCCTAAAACCCTTTCCTCACACTGGATAAAACACACAGCCTCGCTTAATCCTGGTAAAAATCCTACAAAAGAGTTGCTACCCCTCATTTCACAGAAAAGGTTCAGAGAGGGTCTGAGACACGGAGGTCACACAGCCAGGAGACAATGAAACTGAAGGCAAGCCCAGGCTTTCCGAGGGGGCCTCCTGACTCTGGAGCAAGGGAGGACCTGAATGAGGGTGTTACTCTGGCCTTTGATCTCTGGGTGACCACCTGCAGGGCGTGATCCTCCTTCCTGGAGGCCTGCTCAGAACCCCACCACCGCTGGAAGCTGGGCTGGGGGACGGGCCCAGTGACCCCTGGCTCAGGAAACTCCCATTACACATTAATTCTCTAGTTTGAGTTTGAAGGAGGACAAAGTTTAAGAGTTCTGGTTAAGGTTCCCAGGTTATTTCTGAGGCACACACCTTCACGGCAGCCCCAATTCTCACCAGAGCAGAAAGCCGGACAGCCTGGTAGAAAATAGCTCGGGTTTTCACCTGTGAGCAACCGGGTTCTAACTCGGCTGAGCTAGTCCTCAACTGTGTGACTGCGGGTAAGCCGCTCGCCCTCTCTGGGCGAGCTGAAGTCTGGGAGTGACTCTGTGCAAGTCAGGCCTCTGTTCCCTTCCCTGCCGAGAGAGATCACCTGACAACACCCCAAATGGGGCTGGGTCGAGGGTCGAGCAGGCTGATGCAGGCAAAAGCTCTGGATGCAGCCTGGCACGTAGCACTCAAATCAGAAGCTGTGGTGATTTAAAAAAAAAATGCCACCTCCCTCAGCATAATCTGAGTGAGCACTGGGGCCATCAGTGGATATTCAGGATCCAAAGTCCATGGTGCAAGGGGAAGGATAGCTCAGGGGTAGAGTGCATGCTTGGCATGCATGAGGTCCTAGGTTCAATCCCCAGTACCTCCGTTAAAACAAATAAATAAACCTAATGACTTCCCCTTACCCCCCCAAAAAAGAAAAAACATTTAATAATTAAAAAAAAAAGTCTACAGTGCCTGGGGATGGGATACTCCAACACCCACCTCCTCAGCCACATCACAGCAACCAGGTGTTGGTCATCTTTTTTGTGGAGACATCATGGGGAGAATGAGGGAGAAAGAGCTAAACCCAGCATCCACAGGCCATAGCCCAAGGCCCTTTAACTGCGTTAATCTCCCTTCACTGAAGCACTTCTTGTGTTGGAAGTGTGTCCAGAAACCAAAAGGCAGGGGGTGCAGGAATGGTGGGATCCAGCTCCCCACCCCACAGTTCAGCTCCAACAAGCCTCACACCCAGCACCTTCCTGGTTCTCTGTCAAGTGCTTGCCTTCTCTCTGCATGAATTTCACAACTGTGCCAGGAAATAACAAAATCTGCCTCACATAGATCTGTGCCCTGAAGAAAACCCCGCTGTTGAAAATCTCACAAGGAGAAAAGATACCTGAGGGAAGTCAGATAAGGTGCCCACAATCTTACTATTAGGAAATGGATGCGCTGGGGCTCGAACCCATACTACCCCACCCCGCCACCCCTCTGCTTTCAGAGGCAAACTAGAACTAGGTCAAAAGCACAAGCTCTGAAATGAAGCCAGTCTTGGTTTGATTTTGGCCTTTCCCATTTCCTTACTGGCTGTGTGATCTTCTGTTAGTTACTTAACCTCTCTGAGCCTTCCCTGCCTCATCTTCCTTATCAAGGCTGAGGCACAGATTAGGAATCAAATATGAGGGAGTGGGTATCACTCGGTAGTATAACACATGCTTAGCATGCACAAGGTCCTGAGTTCAATACCCAGTACCTCCATTTTAAAAAAAAGAGAGAAAGAAAGAAAAAAGAAATCAAGGAATAAAACGCTGGGCACAGACTAGGTGGTCAGTTGATGGTACAACTGCCCTAGCCCCTCCACAGTACCACGCAGGTCACACCACATAGGTCACATGCTGTGTGACCTTGGGTTAGTCACCTCCCCTCTCCGAGCCTCAATGTCATGCCTATCTGGTCCTTCAGCATCCCTGGACCCAATCCCCACTTACACCACTGGCCACCCTCTGCCACCTGGCCACATACCTTAAAGCCTTCTCGGGTCACCTGGCCCCTCTGAAAGTTCTTCATGAACTCAGCATTCTCTGCCTGGGTGTGCACCTCCTGGGTGGCCTCCTTCAGGGCCTCAGACAAATCCTGGGGCATGCTACAGAGGGAAAAGAGAAAGGTGAACAGGGGGATGGCTCTGAGCAGGGTTCTTCCTGAGCCTCTGAGGGTACGCCCACCTGTCGGCAGGCCTTCCAGAGATTTTGGCTTTCATCGGGCTTCTCTGCAGAAATCCAGACTTCCATCTAGTGCACAGGCCACAGTCCCAAGCGCCTTAAGATGCAGCCCCAAATTAACTGTATTACATAAAACACTATGCAATACGGTCCCCAAAACCAAGGGGGAAATCCTGGTACCAGATCTTCTCAATGTAAGAGAGGAGGCAGCACCACCCAGGGAGAAGCAGCAGTCGGCAGGGTGAACCCTCAGATTCAACCTGGCGATTGCTTTGATTGATTGATTTTAGACCCAAGATTTAATTCATTAACTTTGTTGAGGTTTCAGATTCAAAACTCATGACCCCCTATCATGTTATGCTCATCACCAAAGTGTCTGAGTGAAGAAGCCACAGAATTGTCATTTCTCCTTTCTCTCCTGCACCCCTTCCAGAAGCATCATCTCCTATTCTGTATATGCTGATCAAATCCTTAGGAGAAGGGAAGGAGCCAGATTTGGAGGTGGACAGATCAAGGTTCAAAACCCAGCTCTTACACCTGCTAGACAGGAGCCCTTGGCCTTGCTGCCTCCCTCAACTGTGCCATCCTCGTCTCTAAGTGGGGACACCGCAGTCTCCCTCACGTCTGGCTCAGCTGCTGTCCTGCCCAGGCAATCAACAGCTAGTGAGAGATGGATGTGGCCAAGAGGGGGGTCTTGTAAGAAAACTAGGCACTGTCACCCAGGTTCCAGCAGCCGCAGGAATCCTGAACTAAGCAGCCACCTCCAACCACACTCACAAGTCCACCGCCAAGAACAAAGTTGGAGTCCATAGCAACACTCCCATCGCTCACCCACCCGGAGCCAGGCATGTAAATCACCTTTCATCCCTCCAACTACCCTACCCGGCGAGACTAGAACCCAGCTCCTCCCTAGACCAAAGCCCAAGTGACTGGCTGCTCGGTGAGGTCGCTTCCTGCTTCCCCATTCTGTCTCAAGAGCTCGGCGAGAGGGTAGGGGCTGCCCCGCCGGGGAGAGGCCGGTCCCCCGCCCCGCCGCCACGCTGCCCCGCCGCCTTGCGCTTGCCTGTCGGGCTGCGGTTGCTCCATCTGTCCGGCAGCTCTCGGTGCGGGCTGCGGTGCTGGCTCCGATGGCTCGGATAGGACGCGAGGAAGCGGGTCGGAGGGCGACGTCCCGATCCCGGCCCGCGCCGTGCATTTATCCCCGGGGCGGGTCACGTGGCCGCCGCCCGACAGCTGATCTCCACTTTCTGGCCCGAAGTTGCAACACCCGCGCCGGCCTACGCCCCGCCTGCCCATGGCCAGCGGGGGTGGAGGAGGAGCGGTCATATGATCCTTGGAAAACAAAGCTATTTAGAACAGGACGTTAAAACACAGACACACACACACACAAACACACACACACACACACACACACTTACTTCTAGAAATCTGGGCAGCTGTGTGATTTTGCCCCTTCCAGAGCCTCCCAGCCATTCATGGGACTTGAGCACCCCAGGAATCTGAAAAGTTCCAGAGACCTGGAGGCAGGGCTTCTCAGAGCAGGAGGCTGGGGGACAACATCAAGCACTCACCCGCCCCCAGACCCTGCCGTCTCCTCCTTCCCTGCTCTGGGAACCTGCTCCCTAAATGTCACCTCCTCCCAGGACCCTTAGCAGGCAGCCTGCTCCCTCACACCTGTTTTTCCATTGTTCTTGGTTTTGTTTTTTCTTGAGCACCTACTAAGTGCTCGAGGCTGTACTGCTTTCATGGCTCATCCCTACAGTTACCCTGTGGAGTAGATCACTACTATTTTACAGAGAGGGAACCTGAGACTGGGGGAAATAAAGTGGCCAGCCCAAGGTCAAACATAAAGCGGGACACCGGAACCTAAACCCCAGGGTGAGTCCAGGTCTCCGCCTGCCTCCTGCAGGCTCGATAAGCACTTGGTACCCACCTGGACAGCGATGCTGGCTATACAGGCTACCTCCCAGCTTACCTGCATAGGGCGCTCTTCCAGGGATCATCGGGTCTGATTGATCACATCCTCAGTACCCACTCCGGGCCTGGAACAGATCAACTAAGGAATAAATTCTGCATGAGATTGATCATTTAAGGCTGAGGGAGGCAGGTCACTACGTAAGCCCAGAGGACGAAATAAATGGACTAGGTGATTCCTGAAGTCCCTTCCCAATGCCACAATTCTGGATTCTAAATTAAACAAAACAAAAAAGGTGACTCTAGCTCGTTATAAGGATGTTGCTTAGAAACGAGGCAGCAAGTGCCCCACTTCTGACAGAAGGTGAGCACAGGCTTGAAGACGGCTTGTCCAGCCTGGCTTCCCCAGCTGGGGGAACACAGTGGCTAAGGCGTTCCCCCACAGCCGTACACGTATAGGAGTCTCTGATGCTTGGAGACAGCCTGGAAAAACCAGACAGGTCCAGAAGGTCAGTGTGTCCATCCAACCCAAGGTCAGGGCCCTGGCCATTGATCCATCCTCCTCTGGGGTCATTAACCTGAGTTTCAGTCAGCAGATCAATCCAGCGACCTGGGGGTTGCGGAGCCTCCCAGGTAGAAGGGCTATGCCGAGAAGTTTAGCTCTTGATATAAACCATATATCCACCTTCTGCTTCGATGAACAGTGGTAACAATACTGATAGCTAATATTCACTGAGCACTTACTGTGTGCCAGACGCTATCCTAAACACACGTATTAACTCATTTAATTCTCATAATAACAACAAGAGTGTGAGGGTCTGAATGCTTCCCCATCAGCAGATCCAGAGCCAGTCCAGAAACCTCAGAAGGTAAACCTCATGTGATCTGACACCTTCGTACTTAACCTGGGGGAGGGAACAGGGACCCCAAGAGGGGAATGACTTGCCCCATAGGACACAGAGCCTTCAGTGACCCCAGTTCCTGGCACTAGTCCAGGCTCACTTCTCATTCCAACTTCTTCCCTGGGAGCCCCCGACTTGGCGAGAACAGACACTGAAACCACACTCCACCCCTAGACACACAAGCCCAGGGCAGAGGAGGCCAGGTCAGAGCTGATCCGGTGTCTCCTTTGTCCCAGTGTTGAGCTTGGGGCCCTTCCCCCTGCTGATTCAGCTCCCTGACTTCCCCTTCCCTGTCCTCAAGCAACCGGAATGTTTTGAATGGTATTCTTTTTTTCTCCTTCTATGGTAGGCAGAATAATGGTCCCCAGGGATGTTTGCACCCTAATCCCCAGAACCTCTGAGTATGTTACGTTACATGGCAAAGAGGATTTTACAAATGGGATGAGGAAGGATGTGGAGATGGGGAGGTTATCCTGGATTATCCTCGTGGGCCTAATGTGATCAGAAAAGTCCTTATGAGAGGGAGGCTGGAGGGTTACAGACACAAAAGGTGATTTGATAAGGGATACAGGACACAGAAAGAGAGAGAGAGAGACTGGAAGATGCTATGCTGCTAACTTTGAAGAAGGAGGTAAGGACCACGAGCCAAGGAAAGCAGGCACCCCTCCCAGCTAGAAAAAGCTAGGAAACAGGCTATCCCCTAGAACTCCAGAAGGAATGCAGCCCTGCCCACCCATTTCAGGCCATCTTTCTGCCATCCCCCACCATTAAAGCTTTATGCCGTCAGAGAACCCACCGTCCTCTCTCTGGGCTTTCCTCTCAGAGTCAAATGCTTGAGCACCTGGAACAGGCCAGTTGTGTGTGAGCGCTGGAGGTACAAAGCTGAAGAGACTAGAAGCCCAGCTGGATAGAGCATGCATGCTCGGGACCCTAATGAAGGAAAGCTGGGCCCAGGGAAATGATCCAGAAAGGGGGCAAGAGACACCAAAGACAAATATGGGTGTAAATCAGAAAAAAACACCAGGGCCAGCTCTGAGCCAAGTACGCTCCCAAGTGTGGTCCCACCTCATCCTCACCAGACCCAGGAGGTGGGCGTGTGTCTGTGATGGGCAGAATGGTGGCCCCACAAAAGTGTCCTTGCCTAGTCCCTGGAACCTGCGAGTATGTTCTATTACCATCGAATAGGGTGATCACACTTTGCAGAGGTACTGAAGGTTACAGATCTCAGAGGACGGGTGAGAATTGGCCTAAGACATTCTTATTTTAAAGGCAGCACCAACAAGAATTTCAGAAGAACAGGAAGCAGGACATGAGCGAGAAGAGGAGTCTGGGATAAGTCCAAAGATTTTGGTTTAACCAATTGGGAAGATGGAATCGCCACTTTCCTGTGATGCAGAGTTTACTGTGACGGGAGATGCTCCGCGGCTCAGCCTCAGCCAAATCCATTTTGAGATGCATGGGGCAGGGTTCTGCCAATACTGTGCAAAAACTTGAGAGTTAAACAGGAAACTTCTGCCTTTTTCCAGAAGTTTCACTTCCTCCTGCCAGCTGTGAAAGCTGCCCTTGCACCACGCACCCAGCGGGAGACTGAAGCAGCAGCTAGTGACTCAGCGAAATCTGCCTTTCCGGTCTCCCTGGTCCCCCCTCCCAACCATGACACAGCAGAAACGCAGCTGCACGTGGGGAACGTGGAAACCAAGACTCAGCATTCTGAAGGCGCCACCCTCCCACCCCGCCAGGAAAACAGAAGTGGTTTGAGCAGCAGGGAGGGGCCAGGGCTTTGGCTCCTGAGGCTCCAACAGTGAAAAACAGAGGCAAGGTTCCCAATGAAGCTGGGGACAGGGCAGAGGGGGTGGGGAGGGGGAGTTCCGTGCCTCAGCTGGACCGGTATTCCAGGAGAATCTGGGGACCCCACATGGATGTCCTCAAGCTGGGGGCATCCCAGGTAGACAGGGTCACTCAGGTGTCCTGACTGAACCCACACCCCACCCAGACCCAAGAGGACATGCCCTTGACCCAGGAAGGGGAGTGCGGGCTGAGGATGAGGGCCGCAGGGGTGATCAGCCTCACTGGAGCACGGCTTTCCTCTCAGCAAGGCAGACAAGCCCAAATCATGAAAACCATCCTCAGTCAGGTTTATTGTTTATTTTTTATTTCACCCAGCTAACGGAGACACTGGGGATTGAACCCACGACCTCGTGAATGCCAACAACGCACTCTACCCCCCACCCTACCCCCATCCCCAGTCTGGACTACTACCAAACACTGAACTTTTCTGGGTGACAAGAGACCCCATAAGGAAGGTTGAAACAACACTGGCAGAATGGGAGAAAATGTTTGCCCCACGTGTAACAGACAAAAGATGAACACTTGTAATAAAAGCGCTCCCCAAAGCAGTAGGACAGTCACTAGGAAACAGCATTTCATACTGGTTGGTTATCATGACCCTCCTGGGAGGGCAGGGTTCACCCCAACAAAAGAGCAGGAGGAGAGGGGGGCCTTGGCCCTGATGGAACACTGTTTCACTCCTTATCTCTTCTACTCCTCCTCCTGCCAGTGATTTTGCTGATAAGTTGGTTGACATGACAGTGATCACTCCTCTGGTCAACGAGGATAGAAGCTCCACAATGCCCTTGGGAGAAAATGCAAGGTTTTTAGCCTGACGCTTCTGGCCCACTGCCCTCAGCCCTGGCCATGTCCCCTGGGGAAGGATTGCACCCCTCTTGCTCCCTCACGCCCTGCATGCCAGTCTTAAGAATGCCTACCTCCCCCTGAACTACTGAGGCACCCATCTCTTTGGGCCTTGGCTTATGTCATCCCTCCTGCCTAGAATGCCCTCTTTTGTCCCTTTGCTAGGCTAGTCACCTTTCAAGACTCAGCCCAGAAATAGATTTTAGACTTTGAGGAAAGAGCTAAACCTATAAAATACATAGGATACACCACAAAGGAAAATCTTACTGACCTTAGATTTGGCAAAGATTTCTCAAATACAACCACAAAAAAAGCACAAAATGTTAAAGAAAAAAAAAACACCAATGAGACTTTATCAAAATGTAAAATTTTTCGTCTTTAAAGACACTGTGACCACATACACACACAGAAGAGGCAAGTCAGAGACTAAAAGAAAATATTTGCAAAAATATATCCAACAAAGGACTTGTCTCTAGAATATGTAAAGAGCTGATATAATTCAATAAGAAGGAAAATTTAAAAATTTTTTAAAAATTAAATGGTTTTTTAAAAAATTGAATTACAGTTGTTTTACAAGGTTGTGTTAAGTGAATTTTTTAAAATGGGAAAAATTTTGAACAGATAATTCACCAGAGAAGACACATGGATGCTAACTAAGCACATGAAAAGATATTCAAGTTCACAGGTCATGAGGGAAGTGCAGATTAAAACCGTGAGGAGATGCCACTATGCACCT